CGTATACGGTATAAGTGCAGATCTAAGCCAATATACTTTCTCATTACAACTGACTTTGTAAGATAGGAACCTACTTTAAATATCTAATATATAATTTTCATTTGTATGTTTCGACATATTTCAAATATTAATTCAATAATTGATTTTAGCAAATTTGCTTGTAGTTTGCGGAAAGTGCTTTCCAAAAGGCGATGTCTCTAAAATGCAAAATTATGTCACGTGTCTACAAAACAGAAACAATGAAGGTAATTGTAAAAGTTTCAGAAGTAATAAACTAAAATATCAATTAGTATAAATTTGTACGTTTGATGGTAATGCTTAATCAGTATGATACGCCCTCTACGTAAACACATTAAACGACAGGACAGAATATCCATTATATAGAAATTGTTGTATCATCCTGTATGTATGTAAATCAATTCAGTCAATACATTAATTAATTGAAATCAGTTTATATAAAGTAATTTCTTTATTGGTATTTGTTGCATCGTCTTCAGTAATTCTGAACATGGATTGCTGTGAAAAAATGAGAAAAACACATTATTATGCCTGAATGGTCTTAGTTATAGACTTGCCAAAATAATTATGAAGATTTTCGTTTAAAAAAAATATGAAGATGCAGTTTTCTCTTCAACTGTTTAACTGGATGTCTAATTTCAATTTCAGAAACCGAAATCTAGAAGTTTTTCCAGAGAAATAGCGATTGGTACCGAATTAATTTTTTTTAACGAAGCTGGATGCACTGCCCATAATTCCAATGATGAATCTCTTAACAAAACAGGAGGTGACCAAACCTCGATACCACACTGTTCCATCCATAACCGTACTTTTAATACCTTTTCCGAAAGTTGTAGAGAGGATGCCGCATCAGATTCTCAATCACAGCTCATCTTACAGCATTCTAAACGAGTATTAAGTACCACAACCAGTAGTCCCGGCATCAAAGAAGGGTCCGCCGGTGATAGACTATGCCCTCGAATACAAAGAAGAGTTTCACAGCCACCACTGGCGACTTTTCAAGTCGAAGACTACTTCATTGAAAATTTGATAACATATACAGCCAGACAGGTAGATTACTGTCCAATGTGTGCAAAGAAAACAAAATGGAGCTTTGTCGCTCAAATTAATTGTACGTGTATGCTGAAATCGGTAAGTAAACTAAATTAAGTTTCAAAAATTGAGTTGAATAAAAGTACATTACCATGAATAATCTAATAAATTCCACTATAGAATAAGCACCTTACCAAATATTTTATTATTTCCTTAAAAAATTACAATGCATTGCATGGTTACTTGAACAAATAGAGAAAGAAAAAAAATTCTGTCAGGCATTGTAATATATATATATATAATATATATGTATATATATATATATATATATATATATGTATATATATATGTATATATTATGTGTATATATATATGTATATATATTTATATATATATATATAAGTATGTATAATATATGTGTATATATATATATATATAAACTGAGTATAAAACATATTATATATATATATATATTACATATATTATATCAGAGCTAAATAGCTTGTTTATTTTTTAAAGTTTTCCAATCTTAAATTTGTTGGGTTTTTATATAATTTACTTCCAATGCCGTGGAATTGAGTTGACAATTGAATGTCATAAAACAAAATACAACAAAAAAATGTTGCAAGCCCATGGCCATTTGAAAAAACAATGTATATAGTATAAATTATTTTATATTCCATGGCAGAACTCTGAACTACAGGACAAGCAGACCCAAACAGAAAATGTAAACAAACTTTGTAAGTAACAAGTAATTTTATAAATCATAATCATCATAATCATAGTGTAGTTTTATATAGCGCACAAATCCATCTAATGTAAGATGCTCAGGGCGCTTGAAATGTGGACTATGAACTCGATCAATGACTTTCTTCGCCCCTAAGGGTCCCTTCGTGTCTGTGCTACCCGGTAACCCGGTACCAGCAACTCTCGTCGTCCACCACAGGGGCTGTTTGTAAAGTATATAAGGTTGGATTTATGCATTTTTGCCAAATAAGAATAAAGCTCATTTTGTCAAACTGTTGGTTACAAAGAAAGAAAATTCTCTGTTCATAGATTAAAGATCTTGAACTCTATTCCAATAAAATCACCCATGAAGACCATCTTCATTAGTCATTATTTTGCGTTGATTTTATTATTATTATTATCATTATTAACATTGCCATTATTGTTATCATCATCATCCTCATCATCCTTGTCGTTGAGAACGGTTAAGTGGGATCATCATTTCAGCTGATTCATCATCATTCGTTATCGTTGACTTATTTTCTTAGATGATGCATTGCTGTTATTCTCTGAAACTGGTGACTGCATTGGTACGAAGTTGTTGCAAATTCTTACAGACAACGGGTACAAAATCTGCACTCTCCAGCGACAGAACATTCTGGGAAAATACATCTTGGGAATCTACACAGACTTAATCTTAAACAGTAGTTACGTCATCGCTGTCGTTTCTAATGAGCTTCTCCAAGACCATGTCACTAAACATTTACTGAATAGAGCGTTTCAAGAGTTGCTCTGTCGCAATTATAATTTTCTTCTGCCAATAGTTATGAACAACTGTGAACTTCCAGAAGAAATGAAAGGCTATGGGTCATACAAAGTATCTGATAACAAAAATCCAAACTTAGAAGACATAGTTGAGAGGTTGCTCGACTGTTTACCACCTAAGAGTGATTAATATTTGGTTAATAGGAAGCTTTTGATTTGGAAGACGTAAAAGTAGAATAGAACGGATTCAAAACGCTATAGAATTGGGCCAAATTGCGTGCAGATTTCAGAAACAAACGATAACTCTGAACGTTCTCACCATAGTCATTATGATGGCGCTCTACCGTGCATTACTTCGTCACATACTGTAGCACTCCATTTGTTAACATTTTATAGGCCTACCTCTGTGAGCCATGAGCGCAGATCGTGGGTGACGGGGGACACGTCCCCCACATCCCCACGTTTCTATTTCGCAATTGAATTTCGTAAGTAAAAATAATGCCTGAAAGTTATTGAAATGAACTGCATAATGACCCATGGTTTAACGAAAAAGCGTTGTACAGCCTGATTACAGTACAGCATAGGCCTACATCATATTATAGCAAGATACCGGTATCACTAACGTCTAAATTACCTATAATACACTACTCGAGTGAACGTGCTTTTGTTATAATTTGAGAAGTATGAGAAAAAAGTATAAGTATAAATATAAATTTGTTGGCACATCATTTTGAATATAATGGTGATGTGATGATGACGACGGGCTGAGATGGGTGTGGACTCACGCCTTTGACGTAAAGTAAATTCACAAAAGAAAATTACATTACTTTTGTACAGGGGGATGCAGGGGGTGTAACGGGGCAATAGCAACCCCTAAATTGTATTAAGAAAAATAATTTGTATATTATTTTTGTCGTTATGAACATAGTACCGGTAGGCTCTTTAAAGTATCAGAGTGCAATTTCTGGGCCCCTAGAGGTCCATATTCTCAAAATCACCAAGTGATGGTGGACCCACGCACCCCTACCGCCAAATTCTGCATCCGCCCTAACTATGGTACATCACACAGGTTACTTAGATCTCTGATTTCCTAAAATCGCGGATAAAAGATTATGAGAAGTTTGTTGGTACTTATTTTGACTACAATGGTGATGTGATGATGATGAATTTCACTATATAAGACGGTCATTTTTGGCCATCTGGAGGTACCATTTCCTCAAATTTTCGCACCTTAGCCCCCAACCTTGGTTGGGCTGATGTGGGTGTGGGCTCACCGTTTTGAAGTAGGTAAAGTAAAGTATTTATAAATCAAAGACAATTTTTTTAAATTTTATTTTCTATGGTACATCACACATATTAATTAGATGTCTATGGTTTTCCAAAAATCGCTGATAAAGATCATGAGAAATAATTGTGATGTGAGGATGATTAATTTTAATATATAAGAGTATCATTTCCGGCCATCTAGATGTACTATTTCCTCTAAAGTTTAGCAACTCAGCCACAACCATGGTGGGGCAGATTTGGGTGTGGTCTCACGAAATTTCAAAACAGATTTGCGCCATTGCTGTGAGCTACGCATAGCATCTAACCAATTATAGAATATTGAAATTATTCCATGTGTATTTAAAAAAAGTTACTTTATCGTTCGCTTATATAAGGTAAATTTAGACGCACGTTAACGCACGCAAGCAAGACTATACTACTACAGTAACATTGAACTGAGTTTTAGCTCATCTGACCAAACCTTTTAAATTAATTACCATAACCCGAAACATGTGCACGTGTTTTGTAATACAACTAATTAATTAGCATCACCCGAAAATGAAAGACAAACTACAATTTTCCACAGAACACAATGCACAGTTCAAAGTATTGTTCTTTTTTTTCCTAAGTTATAAATAGATTTTTCAGATTGAAGCACCCCAGACAATTGTTCCTAAGGATTGGATTAGGACAATGACAAGACTGTTATAGCAATATCCATCCATGTTATTTTTGTACAAAAGTTTACATTCTATAATTGATTGCATTTTTTTGCAACCTTGTTTTACACTGAACGTTCCTAGTCGCGCTCGCAACAAGTACTAAATCCATGTTCCAGTTGGCCGAGTAGACGTAACGAACAGAGGGTACTTCCAAAATTATCAGTTACATTCAATAATTTAAGTTGTTTAGATTGATATTTTTATGATAGTTTATCCTCGTTTAAGCATAAAACTATGAAGACAGTTTAATGTAAAATGGTATCATTCAATTCAATTTCAAATTCAAAAATACTTTAATACCCAACAGGAAACTCATTTGCCCATGACATAACAACAAATATAAAACAGAGTACAATGAATAAAATGAATATAAAAATAGATATAAAAATATAAAATAGTAAAAGGTTAAAACATGAAAAATATAAAAGCCTATAAAGAATAAAAATTTGTTTAAAAAGAACGATTATTATTCTTATAATTTCAATTTTTTTATTTCATTATTTTTAATAGTATTATTTATTATTATTATTATTATAATCATCATTATTATCATTAATATTTTGTCTTTGTTTGTTACCGTACTTATCTAGTAATGGTACCATTAAACACTCTGATAGCACTTGGAATAAAGGATTTTCTGTAACGCTCTGTATTAGGCTTTTTCCTAAAGAGTAATCTTGAACTTATTGGGCTAGCTCGAAAACTGTGAAATAAAGGATGGGTTTCATCCTCAAGGATATTTTGAACTTTGGTAATGATAAAATATATATGTTCTACGTCAAGTGATGAAACCTGTTGGCCAATAACCTTACCTGAGTATCTAGTGATTCTAAAGAACAATATTTGTGTCACACTCCATGAAAGAATTGTAGAAACACACCATGCTGAAAGTCAGAATACTTTATAAAACAAAGAAATAATACAATAATCAATTTGAAACGCATTAGTCTCCTCAGGAAAAGCATTCTTTTTCTTAATTTTCCATATACAAATTCAGCTTGTTTGTCAAAATTTCAACTGGTTGTCTAAAGACAGTCATTTGTGAAAACACGCATCCCTGGTGGGGGGGGGGACCTGTATTTGTAAACGTAGGCGTAGCTGACGACGTGGTAGAATTTATTCTAACCATTTGACTTCTATTTCTACGAAAACTAGTCCAATTTTAATAAGTATAGGATTCATTAGTTTATGTGCTAAAACATGCGGTTACATCGTATTGAAGGCACTAGCAACATCAATGAACACACTTTTAACAAAGTTACCACCTCGACCATCAAGGTGCTCATAGATGCCATTTAGAATAGTGAGAACGGCATCCTCAACACTTCTATCTAAACGATAGGCAAACTGATATAGACCGGGAGCCCAGAAAATTTAATCATGTGAAAAGAGACAAAAGGTTTGATGGTCTGGTCATGATAGTATAGGGCCAAGATACAATATTCAGTATTGCTGCCGGGGCACATCCTGTACAAGCGGGCTGGGGGAAATGAAATAGGGGGTTAAATAATGCATTTAATCATGTGGAGAGAGACATGGATAAAAATAATTGGATATTACTCCCAGGTAGATACTTGCAATAATGTCACAGGTGACAGCAACTTTTACCTGTACGTGACCTTAAAAAGTGACATTAAAGGTCACGCCCAAATACATTTAATCATGTGAAGAGAGACACGGATGAATTTTTTTTATTGGAACTATTATACATTGGGGGTAACAAAAATACAAATGACAGCAACTTTATCCTGTACATAAGCCCAGACAGCAGCCCCAAAGGACCCACGGGGTCTTATATAGTAGCAACATGATAAAATCAAACAAAGAGAGACATGAATGAAACCAACTAGGAATTACTACTTGTGCAGTGTAGAATGCTGAAACACCGATGATAGCAATTTTTTCATGTACGTGACCCTAAACAGTGACATTAAAGGCCACGCCCAAATGTACATTAATCATGTGAAGAGAGACACGGATGATTTTTTTTATTGGCACTATTATACATTGGAGGTAACATAAGTACCAATGACAGCAACTTTATCCTGCACATAAGCCCAGACAGCAGCCCTAGGTTCCCAAATGGACTTATTATTTATAGTATGATATGGTCGAATCTAATAATGATTAGAGATAGTAGAATGTAACTGAAACACCTGATTATGACACAGACAGTGGTTCTGGAGATCAACTTCAGAATAAAACAGGAATTTAGTGAAGGATGGGACCACTTACACAGGAACTTTTAAACATTGGAAATAAAATCCATTTGACAGCAACTATTTACTACTTCAGCTATAGATTTCCGTTTGATAATAACATTTTGTTAAACACTGACTTCAGATGAAATACAACAATACCATAATACAAACTCAGTAACAAATATTTATTAGATCGGATTAAACTACAGAACATGAATTCCATTTGGGAACCAGGGCTGCTGTCTGGGCTTATGTACAGGATAAAGTTGCTGTCATTGGTACTTATGTTACCCCCAGGGTATAATAGTGCCACAAAAAAAATCATCCGTGTTCCTCTTCACATGTCATTTGGGCGTGGCCTTTAATGTCACTGTTTAGGGTCACGTATACATGAAAACATTGCTATCATCGGTGTTTCAGCATTCTACAATGTACAAATAGTAATTCCTAGTTGGTTTCATTCATGTCTCTCTTTGTTTGATTTTATCATGTTGCTACTATATAAGACCCGCGTGGGTCCCTTGGGGCTGCTGTCTGGGCTTATGTACAGGATAAAGTTACTGTCATTGGTATTTATGTTACCCTCAATGTATAATAGTAACTATAAAAAAAATTCATCCGTGTCTCTCTTCACATGATTAAATATGTATTTGGGCATGGCCTTTAATGTCACTGTTTATGGTCACGTACATGAAAAAATTGCTGTCACCGGTGTTTCAGCATTCTACAATGTACAAGTAGTAATTCCTAGTTGGTTTCATTCATGTCTTTGTTTGCTTGATTTTATCATGTTGCTACTATATAAGACCCCCGTGGGTCCCTTGGGGCTGCTGTCTGGGCTTATGTACAGGATAAAGTTGCTGTCATTTGTATTTTTGTTACCACCAATGTATAATAGTTCCAATAAAAAAAAATTCATCAGTGTCTCTCTTCACATGATTAAATGTATTTGGGCGTGGCCTTTAATGTCACTGTTTAAGGTCACGTACAGGTAAAAGTTGCTGTCACCTGTGACATTATAGCAAGTATCTACCTGGGAGTAATATCCAATTATTTTTATCCATGTCTCTCTCCACATGATTAAATGCATTATTTAACCCCCTATTTCATTTCCCCCAGCCCGCTTGTACAGGATGTGCCCCGGCAGCAATACTGAATATTTTATCTTGGCCCTATACTATCATAACCAGACCATCAAACCTTTTGTCTCTTTTCACATGATTAAATTTTCTGGGCTCCCGGTCTAATAGTCATCAAGATAATTTTTAACTTTTTCTAAGATTTTCCCTTAAAAACCTTTTCTAGACATTTCAAAGGAACACAGGAAATAGACCTCAAATCATTCATTTCTTTTTGGGTTTGGTTTCTTGATTATGGATTTTTTTGGAAGGGAGGGGAAATTTCCTTTGCACATTCCTTTAAACTCTTACTAGAGATGCCATCAGGTCCACCAGATTTACAAGCAT